ATGCTGCACTAAAATGGCTATTGCAGTTTAAAAATCCAGAAGGACAAGTTGCGAGGTGGATTGAACTACTGCAGGAATACGACTTCGAGATCGAACATCGCAACGGGAAATCTCATGGCAACGCAGATGCATTGTCAAGAAGACCTTGTCCTGAAGGTTGCAAACATTGTACTAGGTAAGACAGTAAGGAAGTGGTATCCGTGAGGATGCTCAGGGCAGACCACCTCAGCAACGAGTGGAAGGACAGCTTACAACGTGCACAGCAGGAAGATCCGGACATCAAGCCGATCCTGGAATGGATGAAGGCCAGTGCTCCCAAGCCCAAGTGGAGCGACGTCTCAGCGATGAGTTCGACCACTAAAAGCTATTGGGCCCAGTGGGACAGCTTGCTGCTTCGGGATGGAGTTCTGTGCCGTAAATGGGAAAATGTTCGGGGAGACAGCTGTCATTTACAAATGGTTGTCCCTAAAGCTAAAGTACCGGATGTTCTACAGCTGTACCATAATGATTATTCAGGAGGCCATCTGGGAGTTAAACGAACTCTACTGAAGATCCGAGAACGGTTTCACTGGGTCCACTGTCGAAACGATGTCGAGGACTGGTGTCGCAAATGTACAAGTTGTGCGGCTGTAAAGGGACCTCAGACTCGTAGTAGAGGTGCATTGAAGTTGTACAATGTTGGTGCACCATGGGAGAGAATAGCCATTGACGTGGCGGGGCCGTTTCCGGAGAGTGAAAGCGGTAACAGGTATTTCATGGTTGTGATGGATTACTTCACTAAGTGGCCAGAAGTCTTCGCCATTCCAAATCAAGAAGCTTCAACAGTTGCTGATAAGCTAGTTCATGAAGTCTTCTGTCGTTTTGGTGTACCTTTAGAGATTCACAGCGATCAAGGAAGGAATTTTGAGTCTCAAATATTCCAGGAAACTTGCCGAGTTATGGGTACTCATAAAACAAGAACGACTTCTTATCATCCGCAATCTGATGGAATGGTAGAACGATTTAATCAGACATTGGAGAGGTACCTAGCAAAAGTTGTAGACAATCGGCAACGAGATTGGGACAAGCATATACAACCGTTTTTGTTGTCATATCGAAGCGCTGTTCACGAAAGTACAGCAGTGACACCAGCTTTCGCAAACTTTGGGAGAGAATTACGGCTGCCTGCAGACCTGATCACCAGGATACCACCTGATGCTCCACGCAGTATAACCGAGCAAATGACTTGCGGAACAAAATGAATGACGTTTATGAGCACGTCAGACAATCGGGCCAGCAAATGTCTGAAAAGATGAAAACCCGGTATGACCGCAAAATGAACAACAAAGGGTTCGACGAAGGTTCACTTGTGTGGTTGCACAATCCAGTCCGCAGCAAAGGGAAATCTCCTAAGCTTCAGGCTAAATGGGACGGCCCGTACCGGATTGTGACCAGGATCAACGATGTAACCTACCGGATACAGAAAGGCGCAAGAGGGACTCCTAAGATCGTCCATGTGGATCGCCTAGCGCGTTATTATGGGACCGATAATGCTCGGGACGAGCATGTCTTAGGAGGGGGCAGTGTTACGCGCTCCAATGCCTCAAATCGGCGCACTAGCGCCGTCTAGTCTCGAACCGAAGAACTAAACTTCTTGAAGTTTAAAACTCGAATTCTCGGTACCTTGCGCGTGTTTACTTGAACATTCTGGATATTTTGCTAATTTATATAAGTAGGCGCTGCAAGATGCGATCGAAGTAGTATTGAATTGGCGATACGAGCGAAGCGTCGGAGCGAAATTAAGTGAATTAGTGTGTTTAATTATTAGTGTTTTAAGATTTAATTTGTTTAAAGTAAATTAAAGTGTTAATTTAGGTAATTTTATCGGCAATTTTTATTGTCACGAACCTCAAGCTCGTAACAATAGTATAAATAAAAATAAAATCACAATACCTGCTTTCCGGTTACACAAAGTATATAATGCGTTCTTGGGTAGCGATATACGCTTTTATAATAAGATTCCAAAAAAAATATTAGATCTTTCACCTTTTCAATTTAAGTCAGACAAAAATGCTTGGAACTCACCTCTTGTACTACACAGGACTAACTAGAAATTTCTAAACCGATTTGGTATCTACATATACATTTGACATTTTATGTTTGACTTATCGCTTTACATAAATATAGAACTATTGTAAAAATATTTTGAAAAGAACAACTACTGAGTTTCATACTTTCTTCCATGATTCTTCTCAGTAGAATCAGAACCCCTGGACATTGAAAACAAAAAATTGGGGAAAACAGTGATTATATGACTATTCAAAAGTGTATTTTTAATGCCTACTTAAATAAAATTTATTTTTGAATTTTGAATTTCAAACGAGTGAAAGCAAATTTAATTTAATTAACGTAGATTAATTCAATCACAAGAAGAACATAATATATACAATTTTATTTACATATTTACATTTCATTTTTACGTAGGCACACTATACCTATCAGGCAACGCATCTACTTTATTAATCTTCTGAAGAATCATTAATTTTATCAAAGGATGCCGAACTTTCCTTTGTCGGTCTTTCGGCGTGTACTTACAAATAGTAGTATTTATTTCAATTCCAGTCATTTCCAATTGATCTTTGCTTCGAGTCTAATGTATTAATTGTTTTTACTCTAATCCTTGTTGTTCTCAGAGTGATAAGTTTACAATTTGACATGAATGACGAAAAGTCGAACAGTTCTAGTCGGAGTAGTGAGAGTTGGAGTTATAGATCTAAAAGACCTAAAAGTAAATTTGATGAGTTTTTCGACATAATTCATACATCCCAAATTGCTTTGTGTAAATTATGCCAACATAAATTGTGCTCACATTTTGAACCTTGGTGTACAAGATTTATTAAAGACCTTAGCATTACACAGTGAAACTGACAATAAGGGATAAGAACAGCAGTATGAAGATAATGAAGACGAAACTGTGGAAGATAAAGAATATGCGCCAAATATTGCTGACTCAAGTACAGCTATAACAAAATTACGCAGTATTTCCAGTAAAATAAAAAGAAGTGAGATATTGAAGAGGAAGTTTCAGTCTGCTTGTGAAGCAGCTGGCGTGCCATCAAATCTGAACCCCATACTCGACTGTCCAACGAGATGGAATTCCACACATGATATGATTGGATTTGGTTTAAAAGTGAGAACTGGCATTAACATATTGTGCACTTCTGTCACCGAAATGAATGATTTTCAAATCACAGATAGTGAATGGCAAATACTCGAAAAAATACATAAGTTTCTAATAAACTTTAAACTTCTATCAACGAAACTTGGTGGAGAAAAATATGTTACATTACCGCTAATCATTGTATCATTCAATCTCTTGCTCGATAAAATTGAATCCATGGTAAAACAATTAGATGAGAAACCTAATCGATCCGAAGTGGATGAAAGGCTCATTCTGGGTTTTCAAGCAGCTCGAGACAAAGAGCTTAAACATTATAAAAAGAGCAACTGGATTTATCGTACCTCTTTAATTTTAGATCCAAGGCATAAGACTCAGACTTTTGACATGACATTATGGGGGAAGCAAATTAAAACAGAAAGCCTGAGCAAATTTAATGAACTTTATAAAGAATATAAAAGTCTACACTCAGTGAATACATCTCTAGAATCATCAAGAAATGAAAAGAAAGTATGTGAATATGATGAAGATGAAGACGTAATAGACTTTGAGAAATTGTATGCATGTCCCTCGACGTCATCTGGATCTGGATCTTTTCATCAAGGCTTAGTTATAGACGAGTTGAAGGAGTACCTAAGAAAACCCAGAGCCGCCAGTTCGGAAGACATTTTAGAGTGGTGGAGGACGCATGAGACAGAATATCCGACTTTATCGAAGATGGTCCGTGATTTTCTTTCAATACCTGCAACTTCAGTACCTGCTGAGAGATTATTTTCTAAAGCATCATTAGTAATTAGAAAACATAGAAATAGGTTAAGTGATGAGTCAGCCAGACGGTTACTTTGTATTAATTCTTGGTCAAAAGAATTAATATAAAGTAACAGTAATGTCAAAGCTGTTGTGTACTGTTATGTAATTTAATTTGTATTGTATTTTATTTTTTTATTTAAATAAATGGTAAATTGTATAACTCTTTTATTCCATTTCATATAAGGGTCTATCAATCTCTTTCCAGACAGATAATGTTCTTTATAATACAGTCAAGTTAATGTCATTAATTTGTTTTTTATACGAGTATGTTTTGACTAAGTTTTAGCACATGTAAGCTTATTAAATGTAAACGTTTATTAAGAAACAGACTAACTCCTGTGGCCGTGAGACTTGGTAGACAGCTCAGTTGGTTAGAGCATCGGCACGGATCGCTTAGGTCGTGGGTTCAAACCCCACCCGGTATTAGTTGATTTTTCGAATTTCTCATTAAATGTTTAGATATTTATTAATTTGGTTGGTCTTTCTATGGCTATGTTAATTCAAGCTCAAAATGTGCCTACTCTGTTAAGTTGTTCTAAAATCTAAAGTATCGTTTAATAAATAACAATAGGCTAATAGGTAATTGCGAGACTTGCGAGACTCTTGCTGCAAGACCAAGACCAAGAACAAGACTGAGAGCGCAATACCAAGACCAAGAACAAGACCAGGTGTATTGGCGCAAGACCAAGACCAAGACTGGCTAAGTCTCGGCTTGTTCTTGCATTTGGGCAACACTACTTTTATGACACAAACGAGTCATTTTTGTATTAATAGTATACCTACTTATTCACTTTGATTAATAATTTAAGACTTTTTAAAATAAAAAAAGTGTCAAAAGTATTGTTATTTCCAATAAAAGTTATTTAATTATGATTTGGTTTTATTTACAATTCTTTCCCCCAAAACGAATAGTTCAGCTAGTGAATATCACACTAATACCAGTCCATACACACCCGTAAACCTACCCCGATACCAAAAATTCAAATTCAACAACAAAAATTCTGCGCTTTAAAGGGTTAAATTAACAGTTCTTTTACAAGATCCCCATTTTAATATAGTCGCTGATAACGCCGTTGAGCCTTTCTGCAAACAAATCACTCGTTTTGATCCCGAGGAAATGAGTTTCTAAGTCGCTGCCAATCTTTGAAGCGTTTTTGACATCGACCGTAACGAAAGGTAGACTGACGATGGCTACTAGTAGACCGAATGGCAGCATCTGTAAAATGAAATTTGTTGCTTATATATAACTATAGAAGCGCTTCACAAGTAGTCTTAATGGATACTAGTTGTATCTGCGCAGGACAGGGTTATAGGGCACGAGTATTTACGCAACTAATGGTGCACTCTCTATTCCGTAATTCTCATAATCTGATGAGACGACATCCGACGTGACCGGAGAGAGATCAGGTGCTTTCCTAGACAGAGTCAAAGCACAGCCTCACTTCTCACTTCCTCGCTGCGAGCTTACTGAGAATTTCTTGACAAAAACTCAATAATGATTTTGGTGCAACCTAAGATTCGAACCGTGGACCACAGCATGATCATCAGTCGCGCTAGTGGTCGTACTAGATCTATGAGACAGTCGCTTTAGTCGTGACCACAAAACCTCATGTCCATCAGCCCATAAACATTTCACCATTAGACTTTTTTATAGGGTAAGAGCGAGCAAGCACACAGTCCAGGTAAGTGGTTGCTGTTGCCCATAAACCTTCTACATCTATCCTCGTTTGCGAATTAAAATGTAGATGCGTTTTCAGTCGTGAGGACTAAGATCGATTGCTTTTTTTCTAGTAAAAAGGGTCTCCGATTCTCTACACTCACCACACGAAGTACAGCAGCATTAAGCTGCTATTTTACGCTCGTAGTTCGTTATCTATATAGTAAGTGAGGGTAATATGGTCATCCGGTTAATAGGGTCACTTTCTTATAACTCAAAAACTACAGCCTTGTTTAAATAGATGACTTTGTGATACGATAGCTTTTCATCGGTCAATCTAATAATAAAGGATCAAAAGGGCGCTGCTTTATCGACGCCATTTTGACAATTGACATTATGGCAAATATTATTTTAGTCGAGTTTAGTATGATGTGGTGTACTTAGTTTTTTTAAGTAGATTTTTGAAGTATTTCTAATTATTGCTAAAGCTTATTTGCTATTTTTTTCCTTAATATATTAGTATAGTATACGACTTTGTGTTTTTGTCTGTTCTCCTCCTAGTTCTGGTTTTACAGGGCGGCAAACCTTAGGAGCCGCGGTAGCTCAGATAGTTAGCGCTCGCTGTAAATTTCATACAGTACGCGAGCAAACCGGGTTCGATCCCCGCGGGCACCAATGAAATTGTTAATTGCAATTTTAAGTGCTGATTTACCACGTGTTCGGCGGTGAAGGAAAACATCGTGAGGAAACCTGCATGTCAGAGAAATAAATAAAAAAATATATTTCGAAGACATGTGAAGTTCGCCAACACGCATTGGGGCAGCGCGGCGGACAATTCCTTGCCCTAAAACCCTCTCAGAAATGAGCGGAGGCCTGTGCCCAGCAGTGGGACGTATATAGGCTGTAACTTTACATTACTTTTAAAACCTTAAGGTGACCATATTACCTTCACGTAACTTTACATATAAATAAAATTGAAGTGTATGTCTGTGATATCGAAATAACTGTCTTTTATTGAGTTGAGGTGATTATTTGAATGCTATTAATTACATGAACAACCATTTTAAAAATGTTTGTCTGTCTGTATAACTGCCCGTCCCGTTTTTAATAAAACTTGATGTTCAGATAGAGATCAATGCTAGGAATTTATTCGAAAAACTTAGAGATTTCTAAAATTAGATAAAATAATTGGAATTCAATGATTAAGCAAAATCTAAACACCGCCATATAGATCTCAATCAATAGATCCAAGCGAAGCTAGACGGATTGCTAGTTTATAATATATTGGAACACAGCGTTGCAGACACAGACGCTTGGCTGCAGGATGAGGTAAGAAGGCTTACACGGACGGACTTAAAAGTAGAAAAAGAGAGGAACCGGAAAATATACTTTACAACTCTAGCAACAACTTTCGTTAATTCACTACATTACAGCCTCCCCACAGATTGCCACATAAGGGGATATTTGTCATAGTTGCCAAGTTAGGCAGCTTGGTCGGCATGGCAACCTAAGTGGTTATTCTCTGGTTGTTATTAAGAAGACGCTGTCGCTCATCTGCTACTTTATTTCCCTCTGCCACCACTTACAACCCCCACGGGACGATATGGGGTAGCGATATCATAACACCACCACTACACGATAATAAGTTCCATAAAGGTACATTTTAGAATGTCTCAATAAAATTTTAAACTCCGTTACACATAATGTCATGGTTCACCTGATTTTAGGTCGCGGGTTGTGATGTACCACCATTGCAAGATAAGATAAGATAAGATGCTTCATTTGTTTGAATTAAAACATTACGAGTACCGATGTTACAAAAGATTTTCGATCCTAAATATTCTGCCGTTTACGGCGTACAAATATTTTTAATGCAATGATATCTTAGTGGTGTCCTGTAGGCATTATAAAAATACTTAAAGTTTACCTACCCTTTCATAAAAATTGTAATATTTTTAGATAAAATTTACCTCTTTTAGGTCATTCTCAAAGTTTTGATTTGAATAGATGAGGTCTGGATCTAGACTAAATCTTCGTAGGGCATTACAAAATTCGCTGTAATAGTGCTCAATAAGATGTCGATAGTGTTCTTGGCGAAATTTCTCATCCGTACCATTAATGATGAAGTACAGCAGATCCATAATTGGGTTGCACACTTGTATTATCTGAAAATCTAGCACTGCTACCTCCAATGTTCCATCCTGTAACATTAATAAGAAAACATTCGGTCAAGACACTGGTGGTAGGACTTCTTTTCCGACATCAGGATTCCCGATATTTTGCATCACTGCTAAGTATGCGTACACGCTAATTCTGCAGAGATCTAAAAATAGTAGAGTTTAAAACTTTGTATATTGTGTCACCGAATATATACGCAAAACGAATTAAATAATCGATATTTTTTGGCGCAAAATATTTTTCATGTCTAAAATCTGTCTGTCTCTTTTGCAGTTTAGTAGTCATCTGTGATGTATCTAAAGGTATTTATCATAATTTTATGACAATAATACTAAATTTTCTTCAATATTTTCTACAATATTAATACAATGTTTTGGTAACTGAGGACTATAATTAAAGCGATGCGGCCTCTTTTGGTACGTGCTTTATAGCTGCTTGTAGCATTATGTCGTGTCCACAACCTTTCTGAAAATATAATTATGTAGAAATAAAAAGAACAGTTGTATGATAAACATGACTAAATCATCATCAAAGTCTCAAACACCACAAGACATACGTGGTAGAGCCACGCTGCAGCTAAATTACGGTAGTAGCACGAATGGGTCGGCTCGACCGGGGAAAGACCACGCTTTCACAGAATACCAGCGTAAAATAGCAGCTTAAGAGGATAGAGTAAGTCAGCTCAAATTCTAATTTCGCCCCCACTTCCCCGCGCGTCGTATGCTATGTACCGATATGTCTGTAATCACTAATACTGTAAGTGGAAAGGTCGTTAGACACTTATTTCATTAGGTTTATCATATTTATGCCTGTTTCTTAACGCCAAGCCAGCCGCTTCTTATTTTTATCACGGTTATTTCCCATTTTAATTTTACGTCGTACTGTTGCGTAATGTATATTCTGATCGTAAGCGACACAACTTCTCCCTTCAAAAGCCTAAGCGATACTAACGGGCGACAGGAATCAAGCTCAAGACGTCGATAGTTTAGGTAATTTCTTTTTACAGTGAAAATAATGGTATTTTAAAAAAAAGTAAATAACATAAGCACTGCTTTATAGTTAGTTCAGTTAGTATGCAAAGTTTCATGATCTTATTTAAAGTATTTTATGAATAACAGCGGTTTATTGTTTATTTTGGAGGTAACTTTGGATTTTTTTTTCTATCGAGAAAATTTTACGAAATCGTGTTTTCGTCTAACATAATCACTAACATTAATCCTCAACTTTACCATATATTTATTTCAAAATTAATGCTGCAATATTTTCGGCATAACAAAGGATCTTGCTAAGCCATTTGATATTATATTTCCCCTTAATGAGTGAGAAATTCGGAGACCCTTTTTTACTGGAAAGGAGGCATTTCATCGTAGTCCTCAGGGGCGACAACACAACTACGTTTTGATTCTTACTCGTAATCGAGGTTAATGTAGATGTCTATGGGCCGCATTATCCACTTATCACTAGGTGAACTGCGTGCTCTTTTCTCACCCTCATTCTATTAAAAAAACACTAAAAGATAGTGACAGCTGCAAACTGACATCATATTAAAAAAATTAAGTTACTGTGCTATTTAATTAGAGAGTTAGAATAAGTAATATAAGTTCACTCTTGTAACTGTTAATTAATGATATTATAAGAAAATTGGGTTTTTTGGATTCCACCGTTGCCCATCTTGTAACTCATATAATATTAGTGGCAAGCGAGCTAACAGACCATCTGATATTGAGTGGCTACTGAAATCAATACAGCTTTCATTTTCCGTGAATTTAATGCTTATGAGTAAAGTAGCCGAATTTATTAAGGTCTAACAGGAGTGGAGTGGGTGATATTGTTACAACTTATATTCATCTCACAGCTGGGCAAGCATCCTCTCTCATTTGTGAGAGGGTTATTTATAAACGTCTATAAGTTTGCCGGGTGACACTTCAAGAAACTGCGTTACGCTCCTTTTAGTGAAGGAAGACTTTAAGCAACCAATATTTTTTTTATATAGCAATTAGTCCACTCCGCTGCTACAGAGTTCACAGACTTCATATATCACATACGTGGTAGAGCCACGTTGCAGCTATACAGCTATATAATATAGCTGCAACGTGGCTCTACCACGTATGTGATAGTTGTAGCTCGAATAGATCGACTGGACCGGGGTCGACTGAGGCAGGACCACGCATTCGCCGAATACCGACCTAAAATGAGAGCTTAATGCTGCTGTGTTTCGAATGATGAGTGTAGATAACCGAAGACCCTTTTTACTGGAAACGAGGTTTTTCATGATAGACCTAAGATGTGACAAGGCATTTGCATTTTGATTATTAACTAAGGATTTACGTGGTAAAGCCATGCTGCAGCTATATCCTGGTTGCAGCACGAACGGGACAACTCGACTGGGGTAGGACCACGTTTCCACAGAATACCAGCGTAAAATAGCAGCTCAATGGTGTTGTGTTTCGTATGGTGAGTGTAGAGAACTGAAAATCCTTTTTACTGGAAACGAGGTTTTTTATGATAGACCTCAGATGTGACAACGCATTGGCATTTTGATTGTTAACTGAGGACAGATATTGATGTCTATGGGCCACAGAAACCTCTTACCTTAAGATGAACTGTATAATATAAAAAGCGGTCTATGTGCGACCCAAAAGGTTCACACGACTAACTTCCCAGTGGAAAGAATAAAAAAATATCATATATTTTAATATTTTATACAATTTTTCATTCGGCACAAGAAACGACTTGACCGATTTTGCTCAAAATTTAATGAGGTCTAAGTTACATAATTATGGGAATATGAAACTGGTCCCATGTCAATATAACTCTTTGTTCTCTAGATACGAAAGATAGAAAATTGAATCCGAACATACATACATACCATACATACATACATACATACATACGTACGTGTGCACACACGGACATCCTCTTAAAAACGGTACTACTCGACTCTAAAGACCTTGAAACGTAGAGATATGTTAAAATTTCCAATTTGCAAAATCAGACCCATTAAAATAACTTCCAATTAACTGGTAAGTTAAAAATCTTTTTATTATGCTTTTTATATTTTTAATCTAAAAAAGGAAATAAAATAAAAAATAGAAAATTCTAAATAGATATTTTCCCTCACTGCCGAGTATGTGTATATGGTATGTGGTTAAAGGTGTAAATTCAAATAATATTTGCACCGCGGTGCAGTGTCGGTGTAAATGTATCGACTATCCATATTGTCATCCCATGGGTGTAGTCGTAATAGGTGACACAGGGAAACTGTAACAGGATATGGGCAGCAGCAATTTCCTGATGAAACTAAAGTAAGAATAATTAGCACAAATAGCTTCGGAAGTCAGTGCTAAAAGATAGTGTATCGAAGAAGTTAAGTTCCAACTTTAATAACTGTTAGGAGCAAATAATTTCATTCTTTTTAGTTTTTGAAGTTAATTTTTACCCCACTAAGGGAACTAAAGAATATCATTAGTTCAAGGTAACTACTAGATCGTCGTGTAAATAGTAAATTTGACGAAGGAATCTTATACTACTGATTAGAATTTTGTCATCATAATCAAAACGGGTTCGATCTTCGCCAATACCAACAATGCAACGCATTTACAATTTTTCTTCACATTTTTATTACATATCACATTTTTATAATAATTAACAACACAAAACAAATTAGAAATAACTTGGTGACGATCACCTCATTTTCGGATAATATTCATAAATACCCAACCAAAAAAAAAAAAAAAGAAAAAGTGTTCAATAATAAATTCAGCATACCTCAAGTCTTCTATGCATCAAATTATCCGGTCTGAAGTCGCCATGCGCTATAACCGCAAGGCGAATTGGCTTGAAGAATTTCACGATATTTTCAGTTTTAAAATTTTCTTGTAAGAAATTGGTAAACCTTTCTCGATATTCTTCTTTGGCAACGGCGATAGCGTTTTGAGACATTTTATCGAACAGAAATTTTGGAAATGTAAAATTAATTTTCTTGAAGATTTCATCTCTCTTTTCAGGATTATCCTGTCCGAAAGCAACAGATAAAACGTGTAAATAAGCCATCTGTTTTATACTTGCGGCTGCGTGTTCCCAGGTTACACTTTCCAATCTGTTATAACACTTGAAATTTTGTTTGCTCAAATTCTCCATAACTACAGTCTCTCTTAAATATCTATTATCAAAGCCATAAGACTTCGCGGTTAGCAATCTGTTCTTTTCTGGTATTTGATATTTCTCCTCTAACAGTTTATATTCGTTTAATAGATTAGTATAGAAAATATGCTCTGTATCAAATACTGAAATATTAAAAGCGGCCCTCTTATCTTCAGCCATTATGACAACTTTTCCAAACAGTTCAAGGTCAGGTTTGTTTGGTGCAGAAATTGTCGCTTCATATAAATGAGACGAGTAGTTAGCACCGTCAGTATTAATTAGTTTCATTTTTATGTCGCAATTCTCGTATTTCTCTTTAGCAGCAATAGTGTTGAGGACGTCACGTAAAATCAGCCCAGTGTCCGTCATCATAGGATATTAGGTAAAAACTGAATAAATTTCGTGAATGAAGCCACAACCAGTTATTAATGTGATATGTTATATTGTATAGTATAAACATGTTTACGTTAAGGAACTTTAGATACGCAAATGAATACGTTCTACGTAAAATTACGTTAAGTAAAAGATTGAAGAATTTTTGAAGATTGAAGATTGAGAAGATTGAATGTGCACGAATGCGTTGAACATTTTTATTATGCGGTTTTGTACTTGCGTTGTCCATTTAACTACTGTTAGTTATTATCGTAATTTAAAACCGTGTAAATGTACACCTTACGTATTTCATATTCGTGAAATACTAGCGATCCGCCCAGGCGTTGCACGTGTGAACCAATTTAATTTTGAACCATCCTGGAAACTACTGAAATAAACATAAAAAATCGTCAAAATCGTTCAAGCCATTTTCGAGTTTTTGCGAGACCCACGGACAGCAATTGATGTTATATAAGAAGATATTCATATATACCTATATGTATTTTGTTGATTACCTAACTGCTCTATACTTAAACCCTTGAATTATGTTTGGGAGAAGAACCCTGATATCTAAGATACAGGCTCTGCCTATTTAAGATGTCAGTAGCTTCATAAAATAGTAGAAGTACACAATTGTAAGCTTAGTAGTACTTAAGAGCTCTTTTACATTTCGGCGCTACTCAAATTTAGGTATTGTTGCGCGGCTAAGTTGACATCTGGCACTAGCGCCATCTAGTGTCGGGTAACAGAGCGAGGAGAGAGCTTTCCAGAAAATGACATCACTAATCTTTCAACCGACAGCGCCATCTGTTGTCGAAACGAAGAACTAAGCTTCTAGAAGCTGAGACTCGAACTTTCGGCGCTTTGTCGATTGGTGCGATCGGGGAAGTATTGAATTTGGCGAGACAAGCGAAGCTTCGGAGCGAAATAAGGTGAATCAGTGTCATTAATTTTTAGTGTGTTAAGTTTTAATTGGTGTAAATAAAATTAAAGTGTTAATTTAGGTAATTCTATCGGCAATTTTTATTGTCACGAACCTCAAGCTCGTAACAGTATTTTACGCTCCGAGCGGGCGATGACCTACGCAAGCGATACTTTATTTAATATTTCTATTCACTCGCTCGCACTATGATAATATGAGTATAGCGATTAAACGATCTTGATCTTCCATTATACAAGTTTTCTAGGATGGAGCTCAGTGGATGGAAAATTTTTGGTGTTTTTTTATAGGAGAGGGGGCAAACGAGCATATGGCTCACCCGATGGTAAGTGATTACCGCCGCCCATGAACAACTGCAACACCAGGGGAATTGCAGATGCGTTGCCGGCCTTTTAAAAAGGAGTAGGCTCTTTTCTCGAAGGTCCCTAAGGCGTCTTGGTGCGGAGAAATCTTTAGTGGTACCTAGTCGATTCCACAACGAAATTGTGCAAGGAGAAAACTACTTTTAAATCGCACGGTGTTGGACCGCCAGTCATCCAGACAGTATAGATAAGAAGCCCGCCAGGCATCCAGGTGGTATGGTATGCAAAGAGGTGCAACATCTCTTCGCAGTGCCAGTGAGTCAAGCCGATCGAAAAGAGCTCGGTCGCCGACGATTCGATAGGCTCTGCACTGGATGTGATCAAATGGAAGGAGCTGAGACTGGGGAGCCCCCGCCCAGAGATGGGAATAGTATTCCATGTGCGGCCGAACCTGCACCTTGTAAAGCTGCAAGCGGTGAGCCGGCATGAAATACTGTTCCGTTCTGCTGAGCACGCCAAGCTTTTTAGAGGCCAATTTGGTCTTCTTTTCCAAGTGACCACGAAACTGCACGTCACTCGATATGTCGAGGCCTAGGATTCCGATACTGGCTGAGGCAACAATGGGAGTGCCTTGAAACGAGGAGACAAGACGAAGGGTTTTTTTAGCGATAAATGCGCAAACTTGTGTTTTCTGAGGATTAAATTGGACTAGATTTAGTCGCCCCTATTCCTAGATCTTGTTCCGAGACTTCAGGCACAAGTTTGTCCCGATACTCGGCGGCGTTAATATTAGCACGGCCGGTGTATAAAGCATCATCAGAGATGTCGTCTGCATAACAATGAATGTTACCGGTTTGCAACATGTCATTGATATTGTAACGGTTCCCCACCCCTCTAATTAAAAAAGATATAAATTATTTTCCCCACTATATTAAAATTATATATATATATATATATATATATATGTATATATATATCAATATTTGTGACCGGGATTATTAAATTTGTTTTGATCTTCTGAAACAATCTTTCTAAAGGTTTGATAATAGGCCGTTTGTAATATTTTTGGCGTGATCGTCTTAGTTAGAACCCTTATTTACGTAGTATTTGTTTAGTAACTTAGTTCTTTTAGGTGTCTTTTGGAAGAATGAATATTCACCAGAGCAAATGAAAGCTATTGGTAGTGCCTTATAAGCTAAATGAACCCCGATCACGAAGACAGGGCTCGAGAAAGGTTAAAATAACATAAAATGTACCTATTCCACTTGTATCAGAGCGTGTCATGAGTCTACCGCTCACCTCAAGGGAATGGGGTCCCACGTTGTGCGGCTAGATATATTATTATGTATATATATTATGGAGGTCAGACTGTCTGCAGCCCCGTAATGAAGGGACCCGACTTGGACAAGGCTACTTAGGTGTGAGTCAAACCAAGACGCAGAGAGCGCCATTGAGAATAGCGTCCCACCAAACAATAAGCATCAATACGACTATCGTCGGGCTTACACCATCCCAAGGTCCCCCAGCAGACGTCACCACCAGCATACGTCCATCGACCAGAACCACAAGAATGCGTTGAATCAGGCGCAACACACCCGCAGATCAGTACCAGATCAGACGCAATACCGTAAGTAGCAGTAAGCATCAATGCAACTATCATACCGGTGGCGCTCCTTCACAACACACCCACATGATCCCTATCGACTTTGGTAACAAAATTTATATTGTTGTTAATTAAAAAATAACACCAACCTATCATAGTAGCACGCTACTAAGACTCTAGTGAACAAAACTCCACGTTTCATAGCGCTAATGCATTAAGACATGAAGTTGAGTATGCTTGTTACACTTAAAAGTGCTACCAAACACACTCATCCCACTCCGAAAGATAGACGATACATCGCTATGCGCTCCGACGCCGCCCACAAACGGTATGGGTGTCGACGTCCACGGGAAAACTGTATTGTTACAACAAACCCGCTTACCACTTGCACTAAGACGTTGTTAACTAAAAACTGCACAAACGTATTATAGTAGCACGCCACTAAGACGCCAGTGGACAAAATTACACGTATCACAGCGCTAATGCACTAAGACTTGTGGTTGACTATAATAATCCTTTTCAAGTCCCATTTCTATTAATATAATGCTTTTATTTATTTTAGACCTTCCACATATTTGCTTTATTTCATAGATCTTACTTATTATATGTCTTTAATATATGTGACTTCAACCCACAAGTCTACTATTGTACTACTAATTCATCATAGCGACCTTCTATAATAATGCTTTTGTAATAAAGACCTTACTATCGTAAGTCATTAATATATAGGACTTCAATCCACCAACTCTAGTATTGTAATGCTTATACTTCATAGAGACATTATATAGTATTGCTTTTGTATCATAGACCTTACTACTATATGTTTTTAATATACAGGGGTTCAACCCACAACTCTACTATTCTAATGCTTATGCATCAAGGAGACCTTCTATAATAATGCTTTAGTATAATAGAGCTTACTATCATAAGTTCCTGATATAGGACTATAGTCATTTTGCTACAGTACTAAGAGCAGTCGGTCACCCTACCACCCCATATTATAATGCTTATGCATCAAGGAGACCTTCTATAATAATGCTTTTGTATCATAGACCTTTACTGTCATAAGTCTCTAATATAGGATTTGTCATTTTGCTATAGTACATCAAGCAGTCAGTTATTCTAGTATGTATATAAAACAAAACTATTATTTAAAATATTGTAATAAATGTTGCATTAAAATTTCCTCTAATTTCATTTGTTTCTGGGTTTGCTAAAGTATATACATATATTGTCAAATGGTACGGCTCCCATTATATAAGGATCTTCATACGCCAAATTAAACTTACTCATAACTTTGTTATCTGCATCAGATCTACTAGATCTAGAAACTTTTCCTAAATCGCCAATGTGATATTTCATTAACCTATTACGCTTATCAAATTTTGTGTTTCTAATGCGACTTGCCTCTTTTAAATTCTTTCGTACTTGTTGTCTAATTTGTTCGACATTACGAGTACTCGTATGTTTGTTTTTACTATTAAATATTATTCTGTCGAAAGACATCTCATTAGGCTCGTTATAAAGAATCTCGCGTGGCGTGAAGCCTGTACTATTGTGATATGAATTTTTATACAATTCTTCTATTTTAGGCAATATTATTGCCCAATCTTTGTGGTTAGCATGACAAAGTGTCCTGAATAACCTGCTCAACTCTCTATTTAGTCGCTCTGTTGTATTTGGCCTAGGATTTCTTACTGTGGTATATATAGATTTTATATTTAGTTCTTTCATTGATTGTTTTCAAATGATTACTTAGAAAGTGCTTTCCGTTATCTGTCATTATTGCTTTGGGATTTAAAATCTCAACAAAATGCTTTACTTACATTACAAAAAACTTTGCTGTTGACTGTTTTAAAGGATATAATTTGATAAATTTGCTAACTGAAGCTTGTATAACAAATATGAAAGGTACCTGATGCCAATGGTCCATATAAGTCTGCCATGACCATGTCTCCGATATTTCTGTTATTATAGATTTGCATGAACCCACATATGTTATATTACTTTTTTTTTGATAACTAACATAAATGACATACCCTACATACCCTTAATTGCTTTTTAATGTCTTTTGTTAAACCTTTCCAAAAGAATCTATCTCTCACATATTTAATTACTTTATAGGGCCCTTGATGTCCCATTTCTATGTGTA